TGGGATGGGATGGGATGGGATGGGATGGGATGGGATGGGATGAACTCAGGACCCACTGACGTTAGGATGTAAAAGGGGTCAAGGGAGTCCTGGGCCCCCGCAGGGAGTCCAGCAGAAAATGTTGGGCACTGGCAGTCCCAGCTGGGAACTAGTGGGTCCCTGGTTTCAACCCCGATGGGAGGAGGCTGAGAAGGGGCGGCCCCGGCCTGTGTCCGGTGCCGGTTCCAGACCCATTCCTGGTGCTGCTGAAGTGGCGGTGCCCACAACCACGGCGCCATTCCCAGTGCCTGCTCCCATTCTCGTTCCCGATGCTGATAACGTGTCAGGTGCCCCGCTCCCGACACCTCGCTCCCTTTCCCGCTGCCCGTTCCCTTTGCCGGTGCTCGGTGCCAACGCCCGTTCCCTTCTCCTGTTCCTTCTCCCGGTGCCCGTTCCGGGTGGCGATGCCGCCCCCTTTTCCCGTTCCTTTTCCCAGTGCCCGCTCCCGGCGGCGATGCCGTCCCCTTTTCCCGTTCCTTTTCCCGGTGCCCGTTCCGGGTGGCGATGCCGTCCCCTTTTCCCGCTCCCGGTGCCGCTGGCTGTTCCCGGTGCCCGGTGCGGCCCCGCCCCGCGCCGCCGCGCTGCGCCGCCGCCGCCCCCGCGCAGCCATTGCGGGCAGGCCCCGCGCTGCGGCCCGGTCCGTCCGCCCCGGCGGCCCCGGGGACATGGTGCCGGGATGGCCCGGCCCGCCGAGACCTTCCCGCTGCACCGGCTCGTCTGGCACAACCGGCACCAGGCGCTGGACAGCGCCCTGCGCGCGGGGACGGTGGGAACGGCGCCGGGAGCGGCACCGGGAGCGGCGCCGGGGAGCGGGCACCCCCCACGCACCGGCACCGGGAACGGGAGCGGGAGGGGAGGGGATGGGATGGGAGGGAGAACGGCTGGGCCCGCAGCGGGGGTGTTGGGGGACTGGGAGGGCTGGGGATGCTTGGTGGGACTGGGAGCGCTGGGGGATATTGGGAGCGCTGTGGGGACGGGGAGCCTGGAGGGACTGGGAGCACTGGAGGAAGATGGAGAGCATTAGGAAAAGCTGGGACACGGGGCACTGGGAGCGCTGAGGAGAAGACTGGGAGCATTGCAGAGGGACTGGGAGCACAGGAGACTGGGAGAACTGGGAGCACTGGATGGAGCTACTGGGGGCATAGGGAACTGGAAGGAGGCTGGGAAGACTGGGAGCATGGGGAACTGGCTGGGACAGCACTGGGAGCATTTGGGGAGACTGGGAGTGCTGGAGGAAGACTGGGAGTGGTGTGAGGACTGGGAGTACCAAGGGAGACTGGGACTCAGGGGACTGGGAGCACTGGAAGAGCTGGTGGCACTGGAAGGACTGGTGACACTGGGATAATAAGGGACTGTGGCACCACAGGCCTGGAAGCAACTGGGAGCACTGGGGATATGGGGGGCTGGGAGCAGCAGGCCTTGGGAGCATGAGAGATGCAGGGGGAGCACTAGGGTGGCACGGGGAGGGGACAGTGACCCCAGCACCCTTCCAGCACGACGTGGAGCTGACAGACCCACGTGGCCGGACGCCCCTGGAGCTGGCCGTGTCTCTGGGCCACCTGGAGTCAGTGCGGGTGTTGCTGAGGCACAACGCCAACGTGGGCCGGGAGAATGCCAACGGATGGACGGGTACAGGGACACCACAGGGACTTGGGGACACCATCCAGGGGTGCGGGTGGCCTCTGGCTGATGGCACCCCGTGTCCCCAGTGCTTCAGGAGGCGGTGAGCACGGGGGACCCCGAGATGGTGCAGCTGGTGCTACAGTACCGTGACTACCAGCGGGCAACGCGGCGCCTCGCCGGCATCCCCGAGCTACTCAGCAAACTGCGGCGGGTACAGCCCCCCCAGAGCTGCACCCTGCACCCCAAAGCTCCCCAGGGACACCCACCAGCTCCATCACTTCACTCAAGACTCCCCACTCTCCAGTGACTCCAGCAGAGAGTCCCCAAGCCTCCTCCATGACCCCACTCTTTTCCCAGGGACACACTACCTATCCAACATCACTTCCCCAGATTGCCCTGATCCCCACCCAGTACCCCAATAGAGATCCCCATCCCTGCTTTTCCCACATCCCCAGTGGTCTGAGAAGGGACCTCCAGTCCTCCTCAGAAGCCCCAATTCTTTCCCTGGGGAACACCTGCTTCTCTTTTTCCTCTGGTACTCACTGCTTATCCTTCCCTGTGGACCCACACTAATGACTGCACTCTCTCTGATCCCCACCCAGGACCTCAGTAGGGACCCCCATCCCTGCTCCCCATACTCCCCCCCTCCCCAGTGACCCCAGCAGGGAATCCTGAGCCCCTCCATATCCCCCACCATGTTCCTCATCCCTTCCAGGCATCCGACTTCTACGTGGAGATGAAGTGGGAGTTCACAAGCTGGGGTGAGCATGGCCGGGCTGGGCGGGGCAAGGGTGTCCCCAGGGCCCACCCGGGCTGCGGGGCTGAGGGGTTTTTGTGCCCGCAGTGCCCCTGGTGTCCAAGGTGTGTCCCAGTGACGTGTACCGAGTGTGGAAGCGCGGGGAGAGCCTGCGGGTGGACACCACCCTGCTGGGCTTCGAGCACATGACGTGGCAGCGCGGCCGCCGCAGCTACATCTTCAAGGGGGAAGGTCAGCTCCAGCCCCCCCCGCGGCCCCTCTGTCACCCTGGGGAGTCCCCAGGCCCCCTGCACCATAAGTGCACTCCTGTAAAGACCTGTCTGGGTTCCCTGGGGGCCCTCCAGTCTTTGTGGGGAGCCACAGACCCCCTGCACTATAAATACACTCCTGTAAAGACCCCAGATTCCTTACAGGGACTCCCCTGGAATCTTCCTGACCCCCTGCACTATAAACACTCCCATAAGGACCTCCCAGATGCCGTCTAGGGACCACAGGGTATTCCAGCTCCCCCCTTCCTAGAGGAACACCTCAGTTCTTTTACATGTATCAGGGACCCCCAATTCCCCAGATCTCCCAGGGAAACCTCAGTTCCCCCTTCCTGAGGGAACCACCTCAGCTCCTACATGTATGAGGGACCCCCAATCCCTCCAGATCCCCAGTGTCCCCCAGCTCAGGGGTTGTCACAGGGGGCTGAGTGCTGACCCCTCTGGTGTCCCCACGCAGATGAAGGGGCCGTGGTGATGGAGGTGGACCACGACAAGCAGGTGGTGTACACGGAGACGCTGGCACTGGCCCTGCACGAGCCTGAGCTGCTGCTGGCCGCCATGCAGCCCACCGAGGAGCACGTGGCCGGCCGGCTCACCTCACCCATCGTCTCCACACACCTGGACACCCGGAATATCGCCTTCGAGAGGTGGGACGGGGAGTGCTCAGAGGGAAGGGGAAGTGTGGGCGAAGGGGAAGGAAACGCTGGTGCAAGAGGGGGTGACTTGAGGCCTCCCCTCTCTGCCAGGAACAAGTCTGGGATCTGGGGCTGGCGATCAGAGAAGATGGAGATGGTCAGTGGCTACGAGGCCAAGGTGAGCATGGAGCCATGGGGGAGCACTGGGGATGCCCTGGAGTGTGGCAGGCCTGACAGTGTCCCCACACAGGTGTACAGTGCCAGCAACGTGGAGCTGGTCACCAAGACCAGGACGGAGCATCTCTCTGACCAGGACAAGTCACGCAGCAAAGGTGACAGCCCTCTCAGCCAGTCGAGGGCCTTATACACAGTGGGGATGTGCCACTCTTCCCGGGTGGCACAGATGTCAGGCATGGGACACTGTGGGAATAATGTATCAGGCATGGGACAGCATGTAAGATGTCAGCCATGAGGGATGTGACTGGTGACAGCCCTGGGAGTCTCTCCTACTGCCCACACCTCACCCCTGCACCCTCTCTCCCCCCAGGCTCCAAGACCCCCTTCCACTCCTTCCTGGGCATCGCACAGCAGCACGGCACCCACAATGGGGTGAGTGGCCATCCCAGGGGGCCCTGGGGAAGCTAGGGGTCTCCAGGGGGGCTGAGCAGTGCTGCTGTCCCCACAGACACCTGTCCTGCAGGCTGCCAGCCCCACCAACCCCACAGCCATCACCCCCGAGGAGTATTTTGACCCCCACTTCGACCTGGAGACCCGCAACATTGGGCGCCCCATCGAGATGTCCAGCAAGGTGCAGAGGTGAGGCCACCGCCCCAAGGTCAAGACCTATGGGATGGTGACAGAGACGTGGGAATGTGGTACTGAGCATCAGGACCCATGGGGTGGTGACAGGGTCCTTGAGGCCATGCCACTGTTGTCCACATCCCAGGGGTGTGGCCAGGGCACCAGGGCGGTGTCACTGGGGTGGTGCTGGTGGCCGGTGGCCCTGCCAGGTCCCCGTGCCCACGGTGGTGCCTGGGCAGGTTCAAGGCGACGTTGTGGCTGTGCGAGCAGCACCCACTGTCACTGGCGGAGCAGGTGACGCCCATCATTGACCTCATGGCCATCTCCAACGCCCACTTTGCCAAACTGCGTGACTTCATCACCCTCAAGCTGCCCCCTGGCTTCCCCGTCAAGATCGGTGAGAGGGAAAGCTGGATTTGGGGTGGGATTCATAGGGGCAGGAATTCATCGGGGCCTTAACTGACCCCTGTACCTGCAGAGATCCCCCTGTTCCACGTGCTCAACGCCCGCATCACCTTCAGCAACCTGTGTGGGTGTGACCAGCCGCTGGGCTCCGTGCGGATCTGTGCCCCTCAGGAGCCCTCCGGTGCCCACCCCCCCGGCACCCAGCCCTCGGGGCCCAGAGGTGAGGCTGGGGGGCCAGGGGGATTCTGGGGCCGGGGGGTGCTGGGACTCCGTGGAATGGGGTGGGGTGACGTGGGGTGTCACAGGGTGCTGTGGGGTGGGGTGAGGTGCCGTGGGCACAATGTGTCACAGCTATAGGGTGCCGTGGGACGCTGTGGGGTGCCATGGGGACACCCGAGGGTGCTGAGGGCTCTCTGTGTGTGGCAGCATGGCCGTTCCCGTGTGAGGTGGAGGCGGGAGTGTTCGAGGTGCCAGCAGGGTACACGGTGCTGGGCGCAGGGCGCAGCGAGCCCCTGCGGGATGAGGACGATGATCTGCTTCAGTTCGCCATCCAGCAGAGCCTGCTGGACGCCGGCACCGAGACCGACCAGGTGCTGCCACGCCCCCTCACCTAGGCACGTCTCGCACTCACCTGGACACGTCCCTAACATGTGGTCACACCCCACAGGTGACCATCTGGGAGGCGCTGACCAACACCCGCCCCGGCGCGGAGCCGCCGCCCTACGATGAGGACCTGCAGCTGGAAAGGTGAGGTTCCGTCCGTGGGGGCGTGGCCTGGGGTGCCACACCCACCTCACCTGGGCGGGGCAGGGGCAGGGGTTAAAAGGTGTCAGGGTGTGGCATGGGGAGGGGCTGGAAGGGAGGAGCTTCTTACTTCCCAATGGGTGTGGCTACCCACGGGTGTGGGTGTGGCTAGCAGCTGGGCAGGGCATGTGGGGAGGGGCATGGCTCTTCAGGCCATGAAGGAGGTGTAGCCACCAGGGGTGGGGTACAGGTGTGCCAGAGGAGGGTATGGCTTCTATGAGTGTGGCTCTCATGTGGCCCCGCTGCTGTCCCCTCCCCAGGGCCCTGCAGGAGAGCATGCTGCTGCAGGCTGGGCCCAGCGCGGAGCCCCCGGCCGCCGGGAGCCCCCCCGGAGCGGGCGGCGGGAGCCCCCCGGGCCCCCCCGGGTACGGCAGCTTCGCGGAGCAGCTGCGCCTGGCCATGGCGCTGTCGGAGCGGGAGCAGGAGGAGCGGGAGCGGCGGCGGAGGGAGGAGGATGAGGAGCTCCAGCGCATCCTGCGCCTCTCCCTCACCGAGAAGTAGCGCCCCGGGGCGCTCCACACCGGCACAGGGACGTCCCACGAGGGGACGGGGGTGTCCCATGTGGGGTCACCCCACGCACGGACGCGGATGTCCCGCGTGGGGACACCCCTTGCAGGGATAGGGACACCTCACCCAGGGGACACCCCGGTGTGGGCACTGTCCCACACCAGGGTGCCCCAGCACGAGCACAGCCTTGCCTGGGGAGCAGCCGGTGCCGGGATGGCCCCCCCATGATGGGGACTCCCCTGATGTGGGCACAGCCCCCGCACAGGGAATCTGATCCAGGGATCCTCCTACCCCCGGGACCCCCAATCCAGGGCTCTTCTCCCACCAGGCTCAAACCTCAGCCCGGGGATCCTCACCTGGGGACCGCCCCTCCAGGGATAACCCTGTGCCCAGGACCCCTCCCTAGGGATCCCCTCCTCTTTAGTGTTGTACTGTGACCCCATGGGGGGCAGACGGACCCGGAGATCCCCGTGGGATGCAGGTGATCCCTATTTTATGGCACTGAAGTGTGGGGGGACTGCTGGGAGACCCCCCAGGCCTCGTCCTTTGGGGCAGTGGGGGGTCAGGGGGGCCTCGAATGTCTGTACATATACATATACATATATTATATATATATACACACATGTGTGTCTGTGCCTGGGGGGTGATGGGTGGGGTGTCCCAGGGGTGGAGCCTGGGAAAAGGGATGGATCCTGCTGGTAGGGTGGGGCTCAGGTGATGGGGCTCATCCAGTAAGTGTGTGGGTGGCACTAGTGGGCTGCTCCTCTTCAGCTCGCCCTAAATCTGGCCCGGTGCCCCCATTCCTGGTCCAGGGATTGATTTATTTTGTTTATATTACTCAGGAAAAGACCCCTGTCCAGGGAGGGGGGGCTTGGCTGAGGACCATGGGGTCACAAGGGTATTTTTGGGAGTGACCTGCCGAGGACACTTGGGGCATTCCCATCGGCTGAAACCTGGGGTGTCCTCGGGGGGTCCACAGTTTCTGGGGATCCTGGGAAGCCATCACAGGTTCTGGACGCCTGGGGGAGGGTCCCAAGTGCCAGGGACCCTCGGAGGGTTCCCACTTTGGAGGAAATGGGGATGTCTCAAGGGCTGGAGTGTCAATCCTGCTTTATCCACAGGGATGTGGGGCCCGGGGGGCTGCGGGGCACCGGGGACGTGCCGCTCTGAGGGAGGGCGGTCTGGGAATCCCGGCTGCGGTGTTTCCGTGGCGGGGGAGGCCGTGCCGCGCCAGGACGTGCCCGGGGCCGTGCCCGCTCCCGCTCCCGTTCCCGTTCCCGTCCGGGCGGGGCAGCGGCGGCGCTTCCTGGTGCGGGGGGGGCGGCGCGGCGGGGCATGGCGCTGGTGACGGTGCGGCGGGCGGGGGGCTCCGCCGGGGGCCCCGCGGTGAGTGCGGCACCGGGACGGGAGGAGACGGGGCATCCCGGCCGGGATGGCACGGGGGGTGGGCGGGGGATCCCGGACCCCCGGGAGGTCCCGGTGCGGGCTGGAATAGAAGATCCCGAGGGAGCACGGATTGTCCCAGAGCCTCGGGGGGCCCAGTGCGGGGAGTACGGGGTTGGCCTGGGGATCCCGGAGCTCCTGCGGGTCCCGGTTTCCTGAGGAAATGGGCCGGTTCGGGGGATCCCGGTATGGGGAGTAGGGGCCACGCGGGGGTGTCTCGGAGCCCCGGGGGTTCCCGGTGCTCCGGAAAGTCCCAATGTGGAAGGTCCCGCTGTCCCGGGGGTGCCAGCGCGGGGGTGGAGGGGTGAAGGTTGCTCCGGTCGCTCCCGGTGCGGGGTCATCCCAGGCGCTTCAATGGGACTTTACGAGTTTACTGGGAGCCGAGTTGCCCTCAGCACGCGTTGGAGTTTCCTGTGCTCCCGTCTGGGGTTTCCCCATAGTTAAGGGAGGAATATGGAGGTGTGGATGAGGGGATGGTTGTCCCAAGTTGCTCCCACTTTCCTCATCGTTCCCAGTCCCTTCGTTGTCCCGGTGTCCCCCAGTGCCACCCCCTCGTCCCGTAACCACTGGGCCTTTTCATCCCAGGCCCTCCCCTTCCAGCACTTTCACTCCGCCAGGGATGGGGGGGCAGAGGGACAGGACACCCTCCCACCATCCTGAGGGGTGTCCCCATCTCCACAGACCTCGTTGGGCCCACATTATTTGGGGAGGGGAGGGGGTTTAGGGGGTCACTGGACTGTCGTGTCCATGCTGGTGGGAGCTTGTGGGACCCTCGAGCCTGGTCCATACCCTGGGGTCACATTTCCCCCAGAATTGCGTCCCAATTTGCAGGAGGAAGATGTTCCCAGACGTGGCCAACTGCAGCGACGGTGAGAGGGGGTTCCAAACCTCGGGGTGGGAGACACTGGGGTGGGATGGGGACAGTTTCCCCACCTTGGCGGCACTCTGGGGGTGCCCTGGGTGCTCAGGACCCTCTTGCCCCCCAGGCAGAGCTTTGTCATGGTCAAGGGGGCCGCACGGCTGCTGCCCGCGGAGGAGCCGCCCCCGGCCGATCCCCCCCCGGCCGAGCCCCCCTGCAAGGCCCCGGGACAGCAGGAGCAGCACCTGCACCTCATGATGCAGCTGCTGCGCCCCCAGGACGCCATTCGGCTGGTAGGACATGGATCCCACCTCCAGGAATGTGGGGATGGGATGGGGGCAGGGAAAGAGATGGATGAGGATAGGAGCAGTGACAGGATGGGGATGGGAAATGGATGGGAACAAGATAGGGAGAGAAAATGGACAGAATGGGACAGGATGGGGTGGGATGAAGATGGGGATGCAAACAGGAACATCGAGAAAGGGTATGGGAATGCAATAGGGATGGGATGGGGACAGGGATGGAATGGGAAGTGATGAGGAGGGGACATGGCCCAGCCTGATGCTCCTTCCTGGTCACTGGGAGTACTGGGAAGGGGCAGATCCCTCCTCCGATGCTCCCCCTTCGGCAGGCTGTGCGGCTGGAGTCGGCGCGGCCGCGGCGGGTGCGGTACCTGCTGGTGGTGCGGCCGGAGGAGGCGGGAGCCGAGGCGGAGACGGCGCTGCTGGGAGTGGATTTCGCCCACGAGGGGTGAGCGGGGTGCGGGGGGGGCCCGAGGGAGCGTCAGGCACTCCCTGACCTCTGCCTGCCCCAGGGCCACCTGCTGCACCCTGGGCATGGTGCTGCCCCTCTGGAGCGACACCCAGGTGTTCCTCGACGGCGACGGGTAAGGGTGGGACGGAATTTTGGGACAGGGAGGAGCTTAGAGAGGTGGGGGTGCCCACCCTGACCCACGTGTGTCCTCGTCACGCCCAGGGGTTTCAGCGTGACATCGGGGGGACAGACGCGCATCTTCAAGCCCATCTCTGTACAGACCATGTGGTGAGCGAGGCCCGAGTGTGACCACGGGGGGCCTGGGGAGCACCCTGGGCACGGGAGGTGTGGGTGGCATGATGGGCACAAGGGGGGTGGGCACCACCTCGGGGATAGGGGACGCAGGCACTGTCATGGGTACAGGGGATCTCACCTCCACAACGGACTCGGGGGATGTGGCACCTCTGTGGTGGCCATGGGGACACGGGCACCACGCTGGATACAGGGATGTGGGCACAGGAGATTTGGGTATCACCATGACCACCACCTTGGGCACCTAGGCACAGTCATAGGGATGGAGCTGGGGAGGGTTTGGGTGGCACCCACACGCTGGGGACAGCCAGTGAGGAGGACATAGCTGTCGGGGTGGCGCCGGGGTGGCGGTGGCAGTGCAGGGGTGGCAGGTGCTGTGCGGCAGGGCCGTGCTACAGGAGCTGCACCTCGCCTGCGAGGACGCGGCCCGCGGCGGGCACATCCCCGGCGGCCCCGCGCTGGCCTGGGCCCGCGGCTACGCAGCAGCGCTGGGCTCGGAGCAGAGCTGCCTCAACGAGTGGCTGGCCATGGCCGACCTCGAGTCCGTGCGCCCCGCCTCGCCCACACCCCTGCGGTGAGCTCCCTGCAATGCCCCTGCCACACCCCACGGCCTGCTGGCCAATCGCTGCCGCGCCTGGCAGGGCGTGGCATGGGTAGGGCAGGTGACACCAGTGACAAAGCGGTGCCACTGCCAGGCCGGCGATGCCGGAGCTGTCAGAGCAGGCGGTGCGGGCGCTGCTGCGGGAGGTGATGGCCGCTGCTGACCTGGAGAATGTCACGTCCAAGGAGGTGGGTGGCACCGGGCAGGGTGTCCTGGGCACGGGCAGAGCCGGGCAGGGCTGTCCCTCACCCAGGTTGGTGCCCAGGTGCGGGAGGAGCTGGAGCGACGCACGGGGCACAGCCTGGCCGAGCATAAGGATTTCATTGACAACGAGATGCTGCTGGTGCTGGCGCAGATGGATCGGCCTTCCCGGGTCTTCCCGCACCTTTTTCTGGTGGGCAGCAGGGCAGGCAGGGAGGGCGGGGTGGGTGGCAGTGTCCCCTCCCCTCACCGCTGTCACCGCACAGGGCTCCGAGTGGAACGCAGCCAACCTGGAGGAGCTGCAGCAGAATAAGTGAGCATGGGGTGGCACTGTCGTGGGGTGGCATAGGATCATCATGGGGTGTCCCTGGGGTGTCACTCGTGTCACCGCAGGGTCACCCACATCCTGAACGTGGCGCGGGAGATCGACAACTTCTTCCCGGCGCTGTTCACCTACATGAACGTGCGGGTGTACGACGAGGAGGCGGCCGAGCTCCTGCCTCACTGGAATGACACCTTCCTCTTCCTCTCCCGCGTCCGGTCAGTGGGCATGGGGGGTGACACCACGGGGAACATCGGGGGCACAGAGGGGCAACAGAGAGGGGGACATCGGGAGAGGTCTTGGTGACGGAGGTGCTGAGATGTGCTGGGGCATGGCATCCTGGGGAGCAGTGGGGTGGCTGGGGACATGGGGAGCTCTGGGGTCACTGGGATAGCTGGGGGACACTGGAAGCCCTTGTGGACACGATGTCCCTGAGGACTCCAGGGTGGATGGAGGACACTGGGAGCTCTGTGGACACGGTGTCCCCGAGTGGCCCCCGTGCCATGGTGGCAGCAGTGGGTGCTACAGGGCGGCGGGAGGCCGGGCGCTGGTGCACTGCCGGATGGGGCTGAGCCGCTCGGCCGCCACGGTGCTGGCCTACGCCATGAAGGAGTTCGGGTGGCCCCTGGAGCGGGCGCTGCGGCACGTCCGGCACTGCCGGCCCGGAGTCCTGCCCAACCCCGGCTTCATGCGCCAGCTCGATTTCTACCAGGGCATCCTGAGTGCCAGGTGAGTGGGGACAGGTGGGTAGGGTCTGGCATAACCACACCCCTATGGGTTAAGAGGGTGTGGCCTGTTGGGACCACACCCCTTTATATGGAGTGGGTGGTGCTTATGTGGCCGCGCCCTAACCGGAAAGGTGTGGAATTTTGTGGGGGAGGAGCCTATGGGAACACTACCCTGCCGCGTGGGTGCGGCTCCCGGGAGGCGTGGCCAGGCGCTGATTGACAGGTCTTTGGCAGCCGGCACAGCAGCCTGTGGGAGCCCCGAGCGGCCGAGCAGGCGCCGTACTCCGAGGAGGACACGGCGAGGGACTCGAGTGGCCTGTCCCCGCTGTCCTCCCCGCTGTCATCCCCGCAGCCCTCCGAGGAGGAGGCGGCTGCTGGAGGCCTGCTGGGGGCTTCCCGGCGCCCACGCATCTCCCTGTGCTCTGTCATGCGGAGCATCAGCCTGCTGGAGACCCCCGAACCCCCCGAGCTGCTAGGGGAGCCCCACGCCCGGGAGGTGAGCAGGGGTCGGGGAGGGATGAAGGGTCCAGCTGTGGGGTGACAACAGTATGGGATGACCCCGCTGTCCCCCCTCAGGTGTTTGAGGCCACGGAGGAAGCAGAGGGTCCCTCGCCGAGGTCACGACCCTCTTCCCGGCCGCGCGGGGTGGTGCGCCAGGCCAGCCTGGACGGCGGCCCCGCCCCGTTTGGTGACCACACCCATAGTGGTGACCACACCCATGCACCTGGCCACGCCCACACTGATGAACCCACTCCTTAATTGGGGGGCTCGGGACAGCGCCTCCTCACTGCCATGGAAACAACGGGAGGGCGTGGGCTGCTCCTGGGGGCGTGGCCAGCGGGCCGGCACGCCCCGCCCACGCCCCGCCCGCACTCTGGGACTTGGAAGTGCCTCTGCCTCAGCCCCACACGCACAAACACTGACACCGCTCTTGCACTGGCAATAAAGTGTGGAAATGGCAGCCCCTCATGGCCTTGTGACCCTGAACACCTGGAAAGTTGGGGTGCTGTCAGTAGGGACCAGAGTGAACGCTTTGGGAGCACCGGGCGGGTACAGGGACTCAGCGGCGCCATGTTGTGCGGCACGGAGGAAACTACAACTCCCGGCGGCCTTTCCACGAGAAGCACAACTTCCGGGTTGCCACGGCAACCGTCGCGGCCTAGGCCTGGACTGGCCCCTAGACTGGAATCAGGGCTGGAATTAGTGCTGGAAGCGGGACCGGGGCAGTCCCGAGGCCCGACAGCGGAGGACTGAAGCCCACAGAGAGCCCGCAGCTCGCTGTGGCCGTAGCAGAGGGGAAAGCCAGGTGCTCCACCCACCAACCCGTGAGATGGCATCAACCCCCTCCCACCATGGTGTCCCTTCATATTGCGTCACCCCTGACCTACAGGACACCTTCCACTAGCTCGGGTTGCTTCATCCAGGCCTTGGACACTTCCACGGATGGGCAGCCACAGCTTCTCTGGGCAATCTGCCATAGCCTCACCACCCTCACAGGGAAGAATTTCTTCCCAAAATCCCATCTAAACCCACTCTCCCAGGGAAGGAGCTTCCTGGCTGGAACTGCCCCTGAGGCTGCTGCTGTCCACCTCCTTGGGCTGTTCCTGCGGCTGGAGCCATCCCAGACTTTTCCCCCTTTCCTGGGACACCCACCATTCTCCCAAGGAAGCAGCATGGGAATCTCCCTCCTTCTTCCCACCAGGAGGGCACAACCCTGGGTTGGCTGAGTGTAGGGTGCTTATTTTTTGTGGGTCCACCTAAACACCTCCATCCTGTGCCCAGCAGAGGAATTATGTCCTTGTAGAAGACATCCAAGGGACTGCAGCTCCAACAGCGGGACCAGATCGGGCTGGATAACACAATCCAGAGGGTCAGGAGCTTGCAGTGAGAGTGGGATGGGAGCTGTGGGTGGCCCCCCACCCATCCCATCTTATCCCAGGTTACTGCCACCTGCAACGCTTCATTGCAGCCTTGGGATAGAAACAATTTATTTTATTGATGAAGCAACAGAAAAAGCTGGTGAATTGAGTCATCAATAACCTGAATAATTAACAGACACTTCCTGTTATTTATGATTCTGCACACAGCAAAGCTGCTGATTAGGGTTGCTAAACATATAAATCCCACAGACACTGTCACTCTTCCCACCCCACTGCAGGACATCCCCACAATCCACAGCCACTTGCCTCATCACCCCATGCTTACTTTCACCTGATTTATTACCTCATTCTTCATTTTTTCGCCCCTGTGGGAGGGCGATTTTTTTCTCCCATTCCAGGGAGAAAAAAATCCCGTCTCCCCTTCTCCATCCAAGAACAGATTTTTCTCCCTGGGTCCCAGTTGGGTGGCATTAAACCATGTGGCTGGACACGCCACCTGGCTTTTTTTTGGAGGGAATGTAACTCCCTGCCCTCCCCTTGTACCCCAAGAGCTTCACCCCACCCCGTACCCCCCCCAGACAGCACACGGCACCCCTTCCTTCGCTCACACCAGGTTTAATCCTCCCGGTGTCCCTGGAACTGGGTCTGGGTGTGTCGGGAATGGTCTCCCCCACTCCCTCGGCGCGGCGGCTCAGAGCTCGTACTCGTGCCAGAGGCTGCGGGGGCACAACGGGGGTCAGCGGGAAGGGCGGGGGGCACCGGGAGAAGATGCCCTGTGCCTCCCACCCACCCACCCATCCTTTCTCCTATCCCACACCCACCTGTAGGTGACATCGGGGTTGTCCCGGTGCTCCAGGAGGGCGTCACGGATGGTGCCGGGAGGGCTTAGCCCCAGCTCTTGTGCCCGCTCCCAGCGCTGCAAGCGGGTGATCCCTGCGGGATACCGGGGGCTCAGCGGGGCCGGCGGGAGCCCGGGGCCACCGTGACAACCGGGACAACCGGGGGTGCTTACCGGTGCAGGGTCCGTATTCCCAGGAGAGGTCGAAGCGCCGCAACATCTCCAGGAGCGCCGGGTCCAGGGGGGGCTGCGAGGGGGCGCGGGGACTGTCCCGCACCTTCACCTTCACCTTCACCTTCACCTTCACCTTCACCTTCACCTTCACTTTGTCCTTGTCCTTGTCCTTCTTGTTCTTGTCCTTAAGCCTGCCCGGGGGCCGCCCCGGGCCCCGCCGCCGCGGGAAGGAGTCGGTGATGCGCCGGGGCTGCTCCATGGCCCTGCGCGACATGGAGCTGGCACGGCCCCGCCAATCCCGGGAACCGGGCGGGACCCGCCGCTACCGGGAACCAGCGGGAGGGACCCAAGGGACCCGCCCCTGCCTGTGGCCGGGCGGAAGCGGCGGGGCCGGGCTGTTGCTGTGGAGCCGGCCACTGCCACCGTTGGCCACTGCCGCCCTCGGCCACTGCCGCCCTCGGCCACTGCCACCGTAGCGGTGGTCCCCGTCCCTCGCGCCCTCCGGCACCCCCCGGCTGTCCTCGGGTGCTGTCACCCCTCCCAGTTGTCCGCGCCACCAGCCGCACTGTCACCCCCGCGGCAGTTCCTGTCACCCCGAAGGCGCTGTCACCTCCATCCCAGTGTTCCCTGTTCCCCTGGCACTGTCACCCGTGTCAGTGGCTGTCACCCCAGGCACTGCCACCCCCCTGGTTGTGCTCACTACTCTCCGGCATAGTCACCCCTGTAACTGTCGCCATCACCTCAGGCACTGTCACCCCTGTGGTTCTCCCTGTCCCCCTGGACATTGTCACCCCCACCCTGGACACTGTCACCTCCCTGTCTGTCCCCATCAGCCCCCCAAACCATGACTCACTCTGGGACACTGTCACCCTCTGCCCTGTCCCACTCTGTCCTGTGTGTCACTGTCTGTCTCTCCAGTGCCTGCCTGTACCACTCCCACTGTGATTGAGAGGGTAACACTGCAGGTGCCACCGGTGTAGATTTGCCTGAGGCTTTCAGGCCTCCCTTGGGGAACCGAGAATAACTGGGGTGACTCCCAGGGGACCCTGCTGTGTGCCTCAGTGGTGACACGTGAGCCACCAAGCTGTGTCACCACTGTAACGGTCAGTGCTGAGGGGACACAAAACCCCACAGCAGCCGCCAGAGACTCCACATCACTGTTTAATTTGAGGTGGGCACAGAGAGGGGACAGCAGGGCCTCAGGGCCCATCCCTATCCAGGCTGGGATTGTGCAGGATGTAGCTGCAGATCCCAGGCAGGCGCTGGTGGCCCAGCAGCTCCTGCAGCTGCTGCATGGGCTGGTTCCTCAGCGCTGTGTGCCCGAATGTGGGGAACCCGCGGGCGTGTGCCCTCTGCGCCGCCACCGTCAGTGCCACCTGCATGTGGCCGTGCCGCCGGTGCTCGGGCAGAGTGTAGCTGTGGGTGCCCGTTCCAAAATGATCCGTCAGCACCCAGGCCACGGGCTGCCCGCTGCTGTCCTGCAGGCAGACTTGCGGGAAGCGCCCCAAAAGCTCAGCCAAGTAGCGCCGGCTGCGGGCGTTCCCCCCGTAGGGCCACGTGTCGTTGAGCAGGTCCACGTGAGAGGGGCTCAGGGAGCCCAGGCGCACCCCAGGGGCTGGCCTGAGTGAGGCAGGGGTCAGTGAGGGGCTCAGGGGTGTCCCCATGTGCGGACAAGGGTGGGGGCTCTCACCGGGGCTCGGGCATGGTGCTGGGGTCAGGGTGCCAGTAGGAGTAGTACTCAACAATGTCCAGCTCCACACCCTTCTTCCCTGCCAGGTCCTGGGACACTGTGGTCACCCCGTCCTGTAACCCTAGAGATGGGGATGTCAGGGGGTCCTCTTCCCGCTGTGCCCCAGCATCCCTGTCCCCAGCCCCTCCATGTGACCTCAGTGTCCTCCTCAGTGTCCCCAGGGGCTATCTGCAACCCCAGCCTCTATTCCCAGCACGCAAATCCCCACTTCCAATGTGCCCAGTACCCCAGTCCTGCCCTCAGCGTCCTCAAATCCAACCACAGTGCTCCCCAGTATCCCCAAGGACCCACAGATCCAGCTGCAATGCTTCCCAGTGTCCCCAGCATCCCCAAGTCCAATCCCAGTACCTCCCAGGACCCTGCTTCCAGGGTACCCAACAGTGCAATTCCCTAGTGGCCTCCAGCACCCCCAAATCCAACCAGGGTTCTCCCCAGCACCCTAAATCCCACCCCAACACTTCCCACTGGTATCACCCATCAAACCCCTTCCCAGCACACCAAATCAGGCCTCCAGTGCTCCCCAGCACATAAACTCCTATCCCCAGTGTCCCCCAGCAACCCCAATTCCCTCCACCAGTACCTCCCAGTTCCTCCAACAGCTCTCTCCCATGTCCCACGCTCCCAGTGCTGCTCCCCACCTCTCATAGAATGCCCAGTCCCTCCCCAGGACCCCCCCAGGACCCCGGTGTCCCCAGGCCACCGATGAGGGTGAAGGCGGCATTCCAGGGCAGGCACCCGGGGGTCTCCACCAGCGCCCGGTACGCCCCCAGGTCCCGGTAAAACGCTGCTTGCGTGTTCCAGTAGCCATCGTTCACCGGCACCTGGGGGCACCCATGGGAGCTCTGAGCACACCTGGCACATGCCAGGGCACCGTGTCACTCCCCTCCTGCAGTGCCCCATGTCCCCATTGGCCACCTCTCCACTGGGCCGGGCCAGCACAGCGCCGAATTCGGGCCACTTGTCCACCAGCATCTCATACTGGCCAGGGTTACCCCGGTTGATGTTCAGCACTGCACCGAAGACCTGGGGGGAAAGGGGGTCAGCAATGAGGGACAAGGAGGGGACAGATGTGGGTCAGGGATGGGGGCTTGATATGGGGACAGATGTGGAGTCAGAGCTAGGGGGATTGTGGGAGCAGATATGGGGTCAGAGCTGAGAAGAGGGGGCAGATGTGGGGGACAGCGTGGCAAAAGGGTCCTAATGACACGGAGGTCCCTATCACCGGCAGGGCAAGGGGCAGGCTCTTCCTCAGGATCTCCTCCAGGCGCTGCAGCTGGGCTGGGCACGTCAGGATCTTCATTGTCCTGCCGAGAGACCCTCAATAACAGGGGGACAGGACCACCAGTCATTGCCTCTTTCCCCACCCCTTTCCCCACGGCCCCCAGCTCCTCCAGCACTCACCCTGCAACAGTCCTGAGTCTGTGGATTCCAGGGGGCCGTGGAGTGGGAGTGTGGAGACTGTGTGGCACTCTGTGACAATGGTTACCACCGGCTGTCATGGGCCAGCGAGTGTCCCCTGCCTTGGGGGCAGCGGGCAGGGTCCATCCTGCTGAACACTGGGCACTGGGCCAGCCCTGAGGCCGTCTGGGGACGGGTGCTCGGCTGGGACACTCTGGGACATTGCCCCAGTGCCACCAGCTCCCCACGGATCCTCGGTGTCACTGCCTGCCGCACAGTCACAGAGCCATGCTGATCCTGAGGTGTCCAGCCCAGCTGCAGCTCCTGGAGGAGACCCTACGGAAGAGCCTGCCCACCACCCTGCCGGTGACAGGGACCCCAAGGATCCCTCTGTCCCCTCTGCCCTGTCCTGCTGGTGACAGAGTCCCTGGGGACCCCTCTGTCCCTCCCTCCTTCCCTCCCTGTCTGCTGGTGATGAGGACCCTGGGGACTCCTTTGTCCCCTCACCCTTGCCCTGTCAATCTTGCTGATTCCCAGGACCCATCTGTCCCCATCCCCTGTCCTCTCTCCCCTGCCTTGCCAGTGATGAGGACCCTGGGACCCCTCTGCCTCCCCACCTGTCCTGGTGGGTGACAAGGACCCCTCTGTCCCCTCTCCCTTGCCCTGCTGCAGACAGGGACCCCGGGGACTCTGTTGCTCCCTCTCGCCTGCTGATGTGGGACCCCAGAGACTCTGGGCACCCCTCTGGCCTCTCTCCCCTGTCCTGATGGTGACAATGACCTTGTCGTGCAGGTCCTGGGGACTGTGATGACGGTGGCCAGGGGGAACCCGGCCTCTCACGAGGTGCTGGTGGACTCCTGGCCCCATTTCAGCATTGTCCTGACCCGCCTGCGCCCAGAGGTGCTACCCTGGTGCCTCTGCCTTGGCAGCAGAACCCCACACCCTGGGGAGCTGGGAATTGGGGTGCCAACCTCAGCTCCATGTCCCTCCCAGGACCACAAGGACCCCAGGGACTACTATGCCAACCAACTTTCTGTGTTCTACCGGGACAAGGGAGCCCTGCAGGCACTGCTGGAGGGCACTGAGGCAGTGACCCAGGGAAGAGCCTTCCAGATTCTGGGTAAGGATAGCACTGGGGACAGACACAGGGTTCCCCTACTTTCCATCTGGGTCCCCTGTCTGGCTGACAGGGGGTCCCAGGGATGCAGGATGGGCTGGACGAGGCCGTGCAGGAGGTGGCCAGTGCCAGGGGTCTGAAAGTGGAGACGATCCAGTACTGGGCATTGATAAGCCCCAAGCCTCCCCAGCCCCGCAGCCAGTGAGTATGGGGCACTGGGAGGACATGGGACACTGAGGGAACATGGGACACTTGGGGGACGTGGGCACTGAGGGACCAGTCACATCCCTGGGTGGCACACGGAGACCTGTCACATTTCTGGGTAGCACAAGGGGGTCATAGTCACATCCCTTGGTGGTACAGGAGTCCCTGAGCACGTCCCTGAGAGGCACAGGGTGACATGAATGGGATCACTGAGCACTCTTCTGGGAGGAATAGGGGCCCCTCAGCACTTTACTGAGTGGTACAGGGTTCACTGGGTGACATGAGTGAGTTCACTGAGCACACTCCTGGGAGGCACAGGGGCCCCTGAGCACTTGCCTGAGTAGCACAGGGTTCACTGGGTGACATGAGTGGGTTCACTGAGCACATCCCTTGGTGGCACAGGGGTCTCCAGTCCCACTCCTGGGTGGCATAAGTGTTCCAAATCCCATCCCTTGGTGGCACAGGGGTGTACCCAATCCCATCCCTTGGGGAAACAAGGGTCCCAGATTCCATCTCGGGGTGGCACAGGGGTTCCCAATCCCATCCCATCTGTTCTCCCAGCTGGGAACAGGGTTCAGCATTCCCCACTCTGCCATGCCCTGTTGCAGGATGCCCCCGGGCCTGCGCCTGGCACCCGTGTCCCCATCCCACATCCCTCTGCTCAACGCCACGTGGGCCCTGGGGGGCAATGCCCGCAGCCGGGCGTTCCTGCTGGGGCTGGTGCGGACGCTGCCCTCCGCCTGCCTGCTGGACCAGCGCGGCCGCCCGGTGTCCTGGAGCCTGCTGGACGGGCAGGGCTGCCTGCGCCACGGCTACACGGTGCCCGCCTGGCGAGGGCACGGCCTCACCGGGGCCGTGCTGGCCGTGCTGGGCCGGGACCTGCACGCCCGCGGCTTCCCCATCTACGGCGCCGTGCGGCCGCACAACACGGCCTCGCTGCATGCTCTGCAAGCCACTGGCTTCGTGCTCCAGCCCGGAACCTTCTACATGATCCTGGGCACCCCAAAGTAGTGCCCAGCCTGGAGGTGGGGTTACCTGGGCCCAGGGGGGCATGGATCCCCACCCTGTGGGAAAGGGGAACACCCCAATTCCCATACTGAGCTCACTTTGGAGCCGTTCTCTCTGGTCTCTACTAACGGCACTGACGGGAATATCCCAGACTCCATACTGAGCTCAGAATGTGGAATGTTCATTGGCCCCTACTGATGGCACTGACGGGAACATCCCTAATCCCACCATTATCTCCGGTCCCCAGCAGAGTGCGGCACGGGCGAGGCGGGGGGCTGGAGAAAGGCTTTTATTCGTTCATACAAGAATAGATCTTCTGCAATAAATACCCCAATAAATAAACATCTCCAATAAATAAACACTCATAGACGCACCGGGACAGTGGCCGCGCCCCATGGCCTCGCCCCACCGCTGCATCGATGGGCAACCATGAGGGAGGCGGGGCTTGGGTAAATGGGTGGGGCCTGTTCTGGGAGGAGGCGGGGCTTGCTACGAGTGGGCGGGGTTTATTGCCGTCTGGGGCGGAGCCTATTGCTCCGGGGGCGGGGTTTGCTGCTGGCTGGGGCGGGGTTTATTTCTATGCTCAGAGGGCGTTGGTCCTTTTTGGGATGAGGGGAGTTTGCACCACTCTGGAGATTTTAGGGATGGGGACAGGCACCCTGGGGGCTGGGGACACCATGAGGGGGGCACTTGGGAGTCAGGACACCTGTCCCTTAAGACACAACGTAGTGACAATGGGGCTGCAGGGTGACTGTGGTGGCACTTTGGGGTCAGGAACTCCACCCCTTTAGGCACAGACAGGTGATGATGAGAATGAAGGGTGGCTTTGGCAGCACTGTGGGGTCAGTTTTGGAGGGACATTGGTGGTGAAGAGGGGACATGGAGTGGCTTTGGTAGCACTTGGGGTCAGGAGATGCGTCCCTTACAGCAGAGTGTGGTGACAGAAGGGATGTGAGGTGGCTGTGGTGGGTGTCACTTGGGGTCAGGAGCCCCTCACTTAAGGCACGGTAATTAAAGTGGAATTGTGAGGTGGCTGTGGTGGCACTTGGGAGTCAGGAACCTTATTTCTCAAAGCACACTGGTGGTAGACAGGGGACATGGGGTGGTCATGGTGGCACTTGGGGTCAGGAGCGCTGTTCCTTAAGGCACAGTGTGATGATGATGACGGAGGGGCTGCAGGGTGGCTGTGGTGATGCTTGACATCAGGAGCCCCTTTCAGGTGATCTTTCAAGGCACTGCCAGGTGATGATGAGGTTGTGGGGTGATTTGGGGTCAGGAGCCCCGTTTCTCAAGGCACACTGGTGGTGGAAGAGGGGACCTGCATGGCCGTGGTGGCACAGTGGGCTCAGGAGCCCAGCAGGTGCTCAGAACCCCCTTGCCTCCAGCCGCAGGGTGACCACGGCAGGCGGCACCTTCTTCTTGAGGCGGTTAAAGTCCTTGGCCGAGCGCCAGAGCCAGGTCTGCAGCTCCTTGAGCAGCCAGAAATCATCCATCTTCTTCAGGAAGTCATTGGGGGCCGCCGGAGCGCCGGGGGGCGCGGGGGGCCCGGCGGGGCCAGCGGGCAGCGGGTACCCCAGCGAGGACATGACGCCGCCGATGCTGAGCACCAGCCCCTGGAGGCTGGCACAGAAGTGGGCGAGGCGATGGCGCAGCTCAGCCGTGCCCACCTGCCCGTCCAGCACCCGCAGGTAGCAGAGCAGGCGGCTGTAGGCCCGGTAGTTGGCGGCCAGGCGGGCGTTGTCCGTCAGGCCCCGCCACAGGTCCAGGTCCACGGTGGCGCTGGGGACCCGCTCGGCACGTGCCAGCCGCGGGGGATTGAAGTCGGGCTCATTGAAGGGGGGCCCCAGGTAGTTCAGCTGGAAGGGAATGGGGGTGCCAGGGGTCAGGTCTCCACGTCCACCCTGTCCCCAGTCTCCGCATCCCCCCATGTCCCCAGCTCGAACACATCCCGCTCATCCCAGCTCTCCCTTTTCCTGTCACATCCCCCTTCGCACTCTGCCCGAGCTGGACATTCCCGGCACAGCCCAGGCAGTGCCACCGTCACCGCTTGGCACCCAGCGTGCCGGCACCACCGAGGGCACGTCAGGGCAGGGACGGGGAACCTCCAGGTGAGTCGGCGACGCCGGCGGGGAGGGAGAGGCGGATGCCCGCGCCCATGACGGAATCACGGGCCGAGGGGAGGGTGCCCGGGAGCCGCCCTGCGCCCGAGGGGCGATGAGGCATTTCCGTGACCTCCGGCGTGGGAGCAGCTGGGCACGGGGTGGATATCGCGGGGGGTGCGTCGGGGACTCACGTAGGTGCCGGCGAGGGTGCGGAGCTGGTGCTCCAGGTAGCGGGTCAGGTCGTAGGTCTGCTGGATGGACTGGCCGGCGCCCAGCTCCTCGGAGCAGTTCAGCGCCGGCAGCGCCGGCAGGTTGCAAAGCGCGGCGCACAGGAAGGTGAAGATCCCCCAAGAGTCACCTGTGGGGGACACACAGCACCTCAGAGGGGTGTGACAGGGACACTCCGTGTGTGCGGCGCTGAGCCTGCAGAGTGTCTCTGAGTCACTCGTCTGAGCGCGGGGAAACTGAGGCACGGACGTGGGGAGGGTGGGGTCTCCCTAACCTCAGCACACCCCTGGAGCAGTAGGGACCCCCCACCTCAGCGCGGTGACCCCCCGGCTCCCCTCGGAGCGCTCCCGCCCGCGGCTATACCAACAATCCTTTATATGGTCTGGAGCAGCACGGCCGCGGCATTCCCGCCGGGACACACGCCTGGGATATTTTTGGGCACTGCCAACGCCAGAGCGGGCCAGGCACCCAGCGGGGACCCCCGCCGAGGGGCCACCGGGAATGCGGGTGAGGGGGGTGGGACGCGGCTCCGAGGAGCGGCCGGGGCGCGGGGTGACCTTTGCGGAGCCACCGGAAAGCGCCGGCGGGGTCCCCGTCATCGGCCCTGACGTCAGGGCGGCCCGGGAGCGCGGCCCCGCCGGCCAGCGGCCGTGCAAAGGTCACGGCCCGCAGCCAGGACTCTCCGGCCAGCTGGCACCCCCAGCTCGCCACTGCCGGCCTTCCCGGCAGCGCCTCCCGGAAAAGACCGGCCGCTGGCACTGCTCGGCACGGCGGGGCTCCTGCTGCGGGCAGCCCCCTGCGCCCCCGCGCGTCACCGCTCCCCGTCACCGGCCGCCCGTGACGCACGACGGTCCCCGGGGACACCCCGGCTCCGGCCGCAGGACCCACCTCACCGCCGTGGGTGTCCTGCAAAGGGCGAGCTTCGCTGTGGGGCATTCAAGCGCCCTGTGGGTGTACAGGACACTGTCACACCTGGAATACACCCCGGAGGTGTGCAGGACACTTGTGACACCTCTGGGATGCGTCCAGGACTCGACTGGGATACTCCTTGTGTATGTGCATCACACAAGCGTGGGGAACACCACACTTCCCAGGCCTGTGACACCGTGCACGTGTGACAACGTGCACGTGTGTGACGCACCACACGCATCCAGATGTGTTACCTACCACACGGGCGTGTGGCACGTGTGGCAGTCACAGGACATGCCGGGCAAGTGTGCAATGTGCTGTGCACATACCCCACTGAGGAGGGGGGACACTGAGATACGTGCCACCCGCGTGTGACACGCCGCACCATGCCGTGGCACCCCAAGTGACCCCGCGTGCCCCCGTGCCCTCCATCCCGTGCGTGGCCGCCCCTGCCGGCCCCGGCTCGCCCGGTGCCCCGCGGTGGGCACGTGCCGCCGCTTGCCCGCGTTCCGGTGCGTTCCGTGGAGCGTGCGGCCGGCCCCGCGTGCGTGCGAGCGTGGGCCGGGGGGGGCCGGCGGGGGGGCCGCGGTGACTCACACCGCACATACCCTCCCCTTCCCGGTGTTTGCTTTGGCCGGACCCTCGCCCGCCGCCGGCTCCGGTTTCCAGGCGGGATTTACACCCGCCCCGGCCTGGCCGGTGCCAAACCAAACACAGCCGGGGAGCGGGATGAGGGGGGGAATGGCAAGGATGTGAGATTGGGCTGGAGCCACGGTGGTTCCTGGGCAGGTGGCCCGAACATGAGGATGAGGATGATGGAGGAAGGGGATGGAGGTGGGTGTCTAGACGAGGGATGGGAATGGTGGGATGCACAGAATGGATGGTACTGGTCAGTAGTGACCATGCACAGCAGTGACAGTGACTGGGGCACAGCACTGACGGTAATCATGACACACATGACACAGCAGTGACAGTGGCTGTGGCACAGCAGAGACAGTGGCCATGACACAGCAGTGACAGGGACAGTGACAGTGCACAGTAATGAGGGTGACCATGACACAGCAGTGACAGTGGCCGTGGCAGAGCAGTGATGATGACAGTGGCACAGCAGTGACGGTGACCACGGCACAGAGGTGACAATGGCCCAGCCATAGCGGGTGCCCCCGCTGTCCTTTGCCCACTCCTGTCTCAGAGGCTGGCGCCGGGCACCCACCGGCACAGACAGTGGAGGAGGGAGGCTCCAGCCGGCACAGCTGGATCCCGGTGACGTCGGAAAGGAAGAGCCCGAGGGTTTCAAAACCGGCCCTGGAGCGCGGCCAGGATGCTCCCAGCCCACGTAAGCAGCTCATGGCGTGCCTGCCCAGGGTCACCCGCAGGGCCCTGGGGACACCCGACGAGCCGGGGTTATGGGGGGCCATGGGAGCGGGCACCCCCTGCTCTTCCAGAAGCACCCTGGGACACCCACGCCTGACACACCGGTGGTGCCACGGGCACCCCTCGCACACGTGGCAGTGAGGACGTGGCTCACTCGCCGTTGGGGTGACACCTGGGACCCCTGGCCTACCACCCGCCCAGCGGTTCAGGCGGCGGTGCTGGCCAGACCTCCCGGCCAGCGGCCGAGGCGGGAATTCGGCCACGGAGACGGTGAGCTGTTCCCTGGGCATGCTGTGGGCAGAGCCGCCAAGGGCTGAGCGACCACAGCCCGCCCAGAGCTGTTTTCCCGAAACCCTGGTGGCGGGGGCGGCAGCCGGGAAGGGGAGACCCCCTGGCCCCGGAGCCCCTGGCAGGGGACGGAGCCGAGCCGGCCCCCGACGCTGCGGCGGGAGCTGCCGTATCTGATGGGCCGGCGTCCAGCGCCGAACAGAGCCCCATCCCACCCCGCAGCCCCATTCCTGGGGCCAGCAAGGGAGGTCTCGCGGTGGCCAGGCATGACTGTGGCACTGAGGACAAAGCAGCCCTGTCCCTGCTACCCCAGCCACTGTCCTGGCCCAACTGCCACCACTTAACCCTCCACGGGGCATTTCCCAGCCCAACTCCAAGGGGCTTGGAGTGGGTGATACTCAAGGGCTCATGGGCAGACTCCTCTGTGTCCCCACACTGCTGGCATTTAACCCCACTGTGTCTGGGGAGGTGACACCATAGCACAGCAGTGTCCCTGTGGAGCCAGCACGGTGGGGACACAAAGATGCTCACATTCCACACCCAGATATCATGAACCCAGCATTCCCTGAGTTCCAACAGGAAGAACACGCGTGCCCTTGCTCCCCAACAGCACCCACGGCCACCACAGTGGGGTCCCTATCCCATCCATCCCATTCTATGGCACTCCATACCATCCATCCCATCCCTCCCATCCCATCCATCCCATGGCGAAGCCGCCGTGCCAGGAGCGGGTGGTGGCACGGGGGGCTGCGCGTCCCCCCAGTCTGGGCCGTGCCTGTGCTCGCGGCGCTGAGTGTTTACATCCTGTCTCCTCCGTGTGTTTATAAATGCGGCCGCGCACGGGAGACTCCAGCGAGGCCGTAATTAGCTGGGCCTGGATTTCCCATCCAGCTCCGGCTCCAGCCAGCGGCACGATGGAAACACCCCCGCCGGCGAGGGGGGCGCAGGCCCCTAATCCCAACCAGACCCCGCTGCCCCGCACGCACTCCCAGCACCCAGGAGCTACAGGAGGCACCTCGATCCCTTCCCTCCACTCCTGGTGCAGGACATGGAGCCACACAGCCCTTCCCCAGCATGGTTCTGGGGGTTCACCGGCACAGAGCCAGGCTGGCCGGTCTCCAGCGGGACGAGGGACCCTCAGTGCCAGCCCGCGTGGCACTGCAGAGCCCTGGGTGACACGCCCTGGCACCTCCGAACCTGCACCACTGGCATCGCCTGCACGGGGACAACTGCCTAGCTGGGTCACTGTGAAACCAGCAGCTCTGGTGGGCACAGCCATGCCCTGATGTCCCCACTGCACCCTGCTGAAGCCCGGGACGCCTCTGTCACCCACAGGCCATGTGCCAGACGCAACCACAACACTGCTGGGCCAGCTGCTTCCCAGATATCCCAGATATCCCAGATATCCCAGATACCCCATCCTGGAGTGCATCACCGTCAGCCTGCCGGGACGCTGGGACGGTGGCACAGGGACACTAGCGCTGCAGCCCCGGGATGGGGAGGGGGGTGCGGGGGGATGATTTATGGGGCTCGGTGCCACTTAGCAGGGCATAAATCTCCCCCCAGCGCAGCCCTGTAAGCAGAGCCCTCCGCATTTCCCTGTGGAGCCTGCGCCTAATGCAGCCCAGATGTGCGGCCGCCACCGTGCCCTCGCACCGCCTGCTAAATAGGCACGGGGACACCGGGGATGCCAAGAGTCCCCGAGAGTCCCCGAGAGTCCCCGAGCCCTGCCGGGGACACCGCCTGGGCAGCCCAAGCGTGGGGATGTCCCAAAACGGGGAGCGGGGTCGTGGCGGCCGAGCTCCAGCCCTGCGGCTCCTCCTCGGCGTCCCCTTCCCCGCCCGTCCCCGCAGGCCTCGGCACCGGCTGTGCCACCGGTTCGGCCACGTCCGCCGGGCCCGGCGGCAGCGGGAAGGGCGAGAGGAAGGGGCGAGGGAGGGCGATGGAGCCGCCGGGGATCCCGGCCTCGCTTTTCCGGTTCCCCGGCTCTCGCCCCGCTTCGCCCGTCCTGCGTCACGCCGGCACCGCGGGAGCTGGAGCCGAACCCGGCGCCGGCCTCGTGCTGCCCCGGCCCCGGTCCCGCCGCCCGGGACCCCGGGGAGCCTGGCGGCGCCCACACTTTGACCTTTTAAGGGTGTTTTCCAGCATTTTCCGGGCGAGGAGCCCCCGGTCCCGGTGTGCCACCAGGCCGGCCGGCCCCCCAGCAGCCCCGGGGGTGCTGGAGCTGCTGGGGCCGGGGAAACAAAGCCGTCCCCTCCCCTGCACCCCAAAATCCCGCTGCTGTGTCCCGGAGGAATCTTGCCTGCTCCAGCAGTGGCGTTCGGTGTCAAGCCCCGAAATCCAGCCCCGGGCAGAAAACTAACTCTTCCTGCCCCCCATAAATCCCACCGACTTTCCTTTTCCTCCCCTCTGTCAGTCTCGGGGTTTAATTCTCCGTGCTCAGCGGCGGTTCCCTCCCTGGTAATCACAAACATGCATGGAAAAGAGGGAACGAGGGAAAGGGGAAAAAAAAAAAAAGAACAACAACCCAACCTAGAGAGGGGAAAGTCTTAAATCAATCCCAAAGCCAGACAGACGTTTTAATCACATCAAATTAAAATCAGCAGTCGGTTTGGAAAAGGGAAAAAAACTCCCGGCAGATGCAGGCAGGGGAGTTGGGGCAGCCCCCCGCCCCGCACCCAGCGCCGCGGGCTTACCTGAGAGCTCCCCGGTTACATTTAGCATAGTCGGGGTGCAGGGAGATTTTGGGGGGCTCGGCTCTTGCTCGGCGCCCTGAGCCCGCCCGCTCGCCTCAGCCCTGGCTCGCTGCTTCGCTCGCGCTCAGGGTTGGGTGGTGGTTTTTTTTTTTTTTTTTTTATTTTTTTTTTCTTTTATTTTTTTTTTTTCTTTTTTTTTTTTTCCTCGGTCTCTATTTGTTTTGGTTTGGGCTCGCTTGGGTGTTAGGTGGAAAAAAAAATCAGGGCGGGTTGGGTGGGTTTTTGGGGTGTGGAGGGTTCGCACCGCGCTCCGGCTGCCTCGCTCGCCGCCGTTCCCCCCTTCCACCTCCCTTGATTTGCTCTTTTGATTGGGGTCCAGGAATGCAGGAATAAAAAAAAAATTAAAAAACCAAAAAAAAAACCAAAAAGGAAAAAAAAACTGGAACTCGCATCCACCCTCTCCAAGCTGCTGCCTCCTTCTTTCCTCTTTTTTTTTCCCAATTCAAGTGTTAAGCAGAACCAGGTTGCTTTCAAGAATGTATTTGATGCAATTGTACACAAGAGCGGGCTCCATTCATTCCCTCCCTCTCCCCCCCGCCCTGGCTTTATCCCCCCTTTCCCCATCTCCGTCCCCATCCCCGGGGTCCCTGCACCGGGCAGAGGTGGGGAGGCTGGAGCTGAGCCCCGGAGCTGCGGAAGGCGGAGGGGAGGGAAGGGAAGAGGGGGGGTCCCCCGGGGTGCCGCTGGACGGGTAGGAAGGGGGGGACCCCCCGCTTTTCTCCCTCGCTGCGCCCCCCGTGCTGTTCTGGCTCTCTCCCGGCTTTTGTTAAAGTGGCAGCGGCGGGGCCGGTGCGGGGCCGGTGCGGGGCCGGTGCGGGACTGGTGCTGCTCGGAGGGGGGGGTCTCCTACCTGCTCTCAGCTCCATGCGGGACAGGCGCGGGGCCGGGGCGCTGGATGCGTGTTCTGGGGTTCCCGGGCGGGCAGGCAGCGGTCCCGCACACCGGCCCGGGACTGCGGCTCCCATTTGCCGCTCCGAGCCCTCTCGCCTCTCCTCCTCCCCGCGCACAAAGTCGAG